TCGCTATACGGTTCGTGATCTCGTCTTCGATCCCAAGGGTGCTGATACAACTTCCCAGGTAGTTGAATTTCCGAACGACTTCTAGCTGATATCCACCAAGGGTCAGCGCAGGAGGCGATCCCTGCCAATCTTGGAGGAGCGCTTTGCATTTCGATGGCGCAAAGTAAAGCCCGAAACGACTGACAGCGAGTACTAATCTGTCCAGCGCGGCTTGGCATGTCTGGGAGCTGTCACAGATGAGCGCAATTTCGTCTGCCTACTCTAAGTCAAGAAGTCATTCTCCTGGGAGTAGCTCCACACATTCCAAGTCATGTCCTGTAAATGCAATCTCCATGACTTCTTCAATATCGAAGTTGAAGAGGAAAGGTGACAGCGGGCATCTTTGTCTCACACCGCTGAAGATACTGATGGGTGGCGACAGCTTGGCTTAAGCTCTCACTCTGCCCGTGCTACGCGCGTATAATGCTCGGATAATATTTACATATTTCTCGGGCACATCTTTCCTGAGTAGACAATTTCAATGGGCACATCGATCAACCGAATCAAAGGCACATTTGATGTCGAGGAACACGACTACGGTGGGCCGCCAATATATGTGACGGTGCTCCAACAACTGACGCAAAGTGAGGATATGATCGATGTAGCCACGGGCTCGACAAAACCCGGCTTGCTCCTCACGAATCTGGCTTTCACAAGCGCCAGTCAGTCTGTGAAGAATTATGGAGGTAGCTAATTTGGAGACGATGGAGATCAGACTGATTCCTCTATGGTTGCCGCATTCCGAACGCGAGCCACCTTTGAAGAGGGGCACAATAACGGAGCGGCTCCAGTCGGTTGGGACAGTCTCCTGCTCCCACAGTTTCACTAGTAATTCATGTAAATCCTCAACAAGAGCATAGCCTCCGAATTTGAAGAGGGCTGGAGGAAGATCATCTGGTTCCGCGGCTTTGTTCAACTTCAACAGTCCGATCTCACGTTCGACTTCTGAGCGAGAAGGTGGATTCAAAGGGACAGCCCACGGAGCAGGGCGATCACTGGCCGGCGAAGAATCGAACAATTCCGGCCGATTAAATTGCTTTTCAAAATGCTCAGCCCAACGCTCTAAACGTTTTGACAAATTGTGGATAGGCTGTCCACTCTCATCACAAATTGTTTCACTAACACCAGGTCTCCTGCTGCCCGTTTCCCGTATCAGACGGAATAACTTACGATGGTTGCCAAGGGCAGCGGCCACTTCCATCTCTGGCGCACGAAGAGACCATCAAGAATCGCGGTCTCTCTTCAGGCTAGCACGTAGTTTTGCCCGGAGCTCTTTGCGAGTTTCATTGTGTTCGCTTCCATATGAGATATGCCAGCGAACATCGTTAAGTTCTAGAGACCACGAGGAGACCTGATATCCATGTTGGCGGTTGGACTTACCACATGAGGATTTTCCTGCTGCTAGTAAGTTCTGGTGAACATGTGACCAGTGACCTTCAATTGTCTCCAGTGAGCGCTTACTCAACTCGCATATCAGCGTAATTCGATAGGCATTCAGAACAGCTGGCTTTGGCAGTTGGCTGGTGTCAACGCGCTCACAGCGTCGTCGTGGGCGTCCGCCAAAACGCATCCTCATGTAGGCTAATGGGTACAACTTAAGGAACCGCGAAATTATTCTCCCCCAACAAAAGTGCACGTTGCAACTTCGCACCAACGTTTTCGTACTTCGCTACTCAGTTATCTGGAACCGACTGCCGCACTCAGTAAGAGCTAGTCCGACTATTGGTCAATTCAACACTGCACTTAATCAATTCCTGCAGTTTAGCGAACATGGCTAAACTGTTTATAATTCTGTTTATAATTCCAAACAGGAAAATCAGAAGACGTAGATTGTGAGATGACGTCGCCATTTCTTGCGTTCACAAAAAAGGATTTACTTTCAATACGCTACAGTCCAACGGTTACCCGTTGCAGTTCATTAAGCGTGTCAGTGAAGCAACCAAGCGAGATCGTGTGCCAACAGTTCCGAAGAAGCCGATCTTCATCGAGCTACCTTTCAAAGGTGATCACGTTATGAAGGTCACCGAGAAAGCGATCAAGGCTTCACTTAAAAAAGCGTACAGTGCTGCGTAACTGTTACTGCTCACATCGACATGACCTATGCTTATATGTTCGATTAAGACACCGACAACGAGGCAATGCACGTCCCACTGTCTATATAAATTCACCTATAGCTGCGGAGCTAGCTGCCTTAGACGTAATACCCGAAGATTATGTGTCAGAGTCAATGAACACATCCCCATGTGGTTACGCAGCCGAATGGTGTCTGTACCGACGGAATCGGTTGAATCGGGAAACCGAGCTGCCTCGGCAGTCACAAAGCACTTGCTTACCACCGGCCACCGCGTCAACCATGATGAGTCCTTCACTGTCCTACTGCGCGACCGGCGGCCTCACATGCCTAGGCTATTGGAGGCCATCGTTATCGATCACAAGCGACTGCTGCTGTGCGTTCAGAAACAGATGACTGACTTTAAGCCTACTCTGGTAGCCCAAATCCGGAGCTATATATGATCTCTTTGACATTGTTGGTTGTTCATTTACGTATCACTGCTGCGTGCTTTTTGTGATTGATAAGAATGCACGAAGTAGTGACATCTCGCTAGACTGTTTCATCAACAGATACCGACCGAGAAGCTATGTTTTCAAGAACCAGAGAATGTTTAAAAAAGGATCACACAATGTATTAGTCCCTCTGTTCGACCCAATCTTGTAGCTTGGAGTTTATGCTGTCCTGTTCGCCACCTCAGCACTCCTATGACGATAGCTTAGATGGAAATTACTCTTGAAGTTTTATTATCCCAACGCTTCTCACGTATCTTACCCTACTGACCGTCCTCTATTTTTCAAAGGAGAATAGAGGCCTGGGTCTCCGCAGCACCCGTCACAGCAATGTAGGATGAACTTGCGCAGCCAATCTCTCCTTTTCGATCACCTACACCCGTCTGAGCCATAGCACTATTCCTCTGAGAACTCTCCTTTAAATGAATATTTCGGATGTTTATTTATTTTCTATGATCTCTACGTACATCTTAAATTGAACCACCATTTATCGCTCCTTTATCATTACCGTTCTTTCTTCCCAGCTCTAGTTACTTCCTGTTTGCTTTTCCTCTTTATAATTGTTGGCCACTCCTGGGCTGATCTGAAGTGACAGACTGAAGTTTCTTACCTATCTAGTACACACACAAAACGAATTGGCACATACTCACTGACGCAAATTAACAATGTTGGACTCGAAATATCTGCATGAGAAAATGGGCTGTGTCGGGATTGCCTCGAAATTAACAGCTGTCGAAAAAATATCGAGTAAACGTAATGACAACAAAATTGCACAGGACAGATGTAAAAAATCAGTCCTTATTGCTGGCCTATTTGCTTATAATAGTCGCCAAAAAGTGTCGATCTGATTAGAGCTTTCTGCATATATTTGCATCCAAAAACAATAAAAAACAAATTAAACGAGTCAAACTAGTGAGGCTTATCTGTTTTAAAGCCCAGCATCACATGGCCAGTTGAGACGTGGAACTGCGGATGAAACCTCTCGAGGAACTACCTCGCATGGAAGCAGGTCCCCAGGGGACGGTTCCATGGATGACCGTATTACTTTATTTGAACTGATGACGATTCTTACAATTATTCTTACTATCAGCTCTTTCTTGCACTACTTTAATTGATAGCAAACTCCCAACACTTCAGGGAAACATTGATATGCTTCGACAATTTTCTTCACTATGTGATTATGTTGTACATTATGATCAGATCACGTAAACGGCGTGTGTCCTGCAATGTCGGGAAATACACCAATTTATTTATTTAGTTCACTTTTACCCCCCCCCCCCCGCACATCACTTTTCTATTCCGGTTACTGCTACTGTATTCGACTTATATACACAGTGTTAACGTACAAATCGGCTTACATGTTTTGTTTGGCCTATGGAACCTGTGAAATCACCCCTATCCCAATACTAAATGCGACTGTACGCTGCCCTCAGGGCCTTGTCATTGCTTCTGTTTTGTTACTGGCACTTAAACTAAGTGGGCGTACACAAATCAGGAATTCATCAGGATAATCTTACTAATTGTTTTATGACCTTACATGTTTGCATCGACAGTCGAAACCCCCTGAATTAATCATTTCAATCGTTAGGCAAAATATGCAACAGAGCACTCGTTCCATTCGTTTTGATGTAAGTAGTTCCGCCTGCCACTCGCTACCGGATTGTATCTCTTGTTCGTGCTGATTGAGATGCGCCTACGCTTCAAACCGGACTTGCAACGCTTAGGGTGCTTCTCATTCAACTACATCTGTTTCGGAGACCGGGCTTTGTGTTTGTCCACTTTTCAGGTCTGTGTACGTTCCCCCTGCGATGTGTGTACTGCAACACTGACCTCACGTTTCCGCTACTGTCGTACTTTTAGATTTGAATCGGTCTCACCAAAACTCTTGCCTGTACAACACCAATTGATTTCTCACTCACAATCGCATACTACGTTTTCCCACTGATAACTCGTTAAAAAGGATGAATTTTAATTCGCTGCGTTTGTTTCTCTCCTGCTTCTTTTCACTTTATGGCTCACTGTAGTACCGTGAAGACGTCTTGCGTGAACCTTCTCACCTCTCATTAACCCCAACTATAGGCTCTCTATGTCATCTAACTGAATTCAGTTTTTGTACTTATTTCTCTACGTGCGTTTTCCGGATGCCTGTTAACTGGTTACCGTACTTGGTCACCGTGAGCACTCTTCCTGTTATCATAGGATTTATGCTTCGTTGTTACAGCTGGTTTTCTCTCCGTCGTGGTATATATTACACAGGGTAGACTATATTGCCTGTACAGAGCAGAGTTTCCACACAAACACATTGCTTTTTAATCCATAGTTCCGCATTATTCTCGTTAATGTTTCACATTGGTCCTTCCTTGTAATACCATCACTTGATCCCATTCTCTTTCTGGTAGTTCCCAAGTCAGCAGGGTGATCAATCGGGGCAGCACTGTTTCCATCTGGCCACATCAAGAGCACTACAATGTGGTGAGTTACCAGCTCTCTCTATACATGCAGACGGTACTTTTTATCCCTCCCATGTATCGCGCTGGTTATATCGTGGGATGTCGCCTCAACACCAACCCTAGATTTGTCAGTGTTTTCGGGTCTCTTTTAACCATCGAACCCCTTTTCTCATTGATCAGTTATTTCTTCCTGTTGCCACCACAAGCCTTACTGCTTCGACCTGGTGACTTACTGGACCTTCCAGCAGGATACTATGAATTTCGATATTTAAGCCACTCTTATCAGCTGCATTATTTTGCTGTGCATGTAACCTACTAAGTACCGTCAAAAGACTGGATGGTCATGTCACGTTTTCCGACCTGTACCGAACAGCTGTTCTAAGCGGTCTCCCTGTTCACATATTTTGTCAGCTTTCTCACACCTGTGATGGTTGCATCCATCGGCGACCTCTGCGTGTCTCTTATTAGTCTGTGGGGGTGACCCGCTATTATTTCATCAAACATGAGTGATGTGCGCGCTACAATATGTCCAATCTTGTTGTGCACCACAGAGATAGTTGCAGCGTGTTGAGGGCATTGAGAAACTGGCCTTAAGGATCGCACGCCTACCTTGTAATCCGAGGGCGCGGTTTCGAGCCTGCATAGGGACCGAGCGACCCTCGCAGTATCCTTGGACCACTTGCGACTGCATACCGACGTACTGTTGCTGCCTTTTTGTAGATGCGGTTATTCCTCAAAGATGATATACACAAAGAGTTGTCATAGGCTTGAACTTAACCCAATCTGGTTTCGTAGCATGTAGCTGAAACTGCGTTCTTTACTGGAGTACAAAACATGTGCACGGTACTGATAACGGTGTTCATGTCTTTAAACACTGTCTACGCGGTACACATCATGGAGACAAAACTCAAGATTCTAAAGTTTTCTCCAATGACCGGCGAACTTTTCTTCCTAATCCACGACTCATAGATTTGGGACAGACTTCCAAAAGATACCTGCGCCTGTTGTGCACTGCGTAGCTTCAAACTTGCGATTATTGGGCAGTTTACTATTCAAAACGCGGCTACTGCATCTGGGACATCACAATCCCTGGCGAACGCTTCCGAGAACGGTATCGATGGCGCCTGATAAAATTAGCAACCACACATTTATCCGGGCTAAGTGAACGTCGTCATACATTTTTAGCTCACAACACCTTTCGCTTCATATTCCTCCGCACTCAACCATATGTCATGTGTTTGTGTAAAACATCGGTTCATCGACAGGGCAAAAAATCAGAAAAGAATTCGGATTGCTTTGTGCCATGTAGACTTGAAATTTGTCCTCATGGGTATTTTAAGTAATTGCGCAACAGCATGAAATGGTTTTAAACATTTCGTTCTGTCCCATCGAGGGCACAGCTTCTCGCATCGTCGAGGAATATACAGTTTATTTATTTATAGACTAGAGCCGATTATTTCAGGACTCCCGATAGATTCATCGTCAGTGATACGAGCATGGCTGCGGCCCCTTTCTGCCTGACTGAAATTTTAACACATTTCTTGTTTCGTGATCATATGGAAGGAATCTTATCTATTTTGACTGCCGTCGTCTTTGGAATATATTTTCCGTAGGGTGGTATCAAAGTGCTAACAAGGTTCCGTTTGTCGGTTACTTTCGTTTCTCCTCATTATCCCCTCACTGACTCTACTCTGCGCTTCGTATGCACACACGAATTTCTTCTCTACAACTGCAGTGTTGATTGGGACCAATGACAGGATGCTTCGTGTCATGTTGAATCCATGGTCACCATTTTCTGTAATGTATTCGTTTGTCGAATCCGTCGGAAAGCTTTTGCAATGGACAACTTTGTTAAACCTCCCTTAAATCTCTACATTAACATCATTTTCTTCTACATGTATTGGCTAGAGATTGTTCTGTCTATAACACATCTAAAGCCTTTTTTCTATCGTTTTATCCAGGTGTATCATCGTCTGACCTCTTCACAGAAGCCTCACTTCGCTGTATACACAAACTCAACCATTCCAGTCGATTGGCACACCGGTGGTGTCCGATTTCCCCCCTTATTATTGGTGGCCAAACCGGGATACCTGATTCGCTCCATGCACTGGCCTATAGTATCCGGCCATTACGCAGTGGATAATGGCTCACTCAAAGGTGCTCATGGTTATGACCACACTCACACAGACATGCATATCCCTATGTTTGCTTTTGGTCCATCGATACGTCCAGGTGCTGTATACAGATCGACCAACTTGAATCAGCTGCACACACATAAGCTGATCTCTTCTCTCTCGCCTTCAACTTTTGTGGCTCGCTCGCGTTCTGTGTCTACCATGGGCGACCGACCAAGCATTGGTCTTTTCATGACTCCTTCAGTACTATTTCAAGACGTACTTTGGACGACTGTCATGGCGGCAGCGACCGCTGCTTTAACTCTGACGATTCTGATCACCGGTTTACTGATTGTGCGACGTTTGGTATCCACGAATTGCGCCAACTCCGTCCGATCAGTGTCAGATGACAAGTTGCTCGACGAGGACGATGCCATGGCTTGATGCCACTGCTTTTTGTCCCGTTGCCTAGTGTTCTACAAATTAGTGCACTGCTGCTCACTACCCAAGTGATTCACCCACTTTCTAGTCACTATTCTTATTGGATCCTGCCTCGGAAATTTTCACCCTCCTTTGCTTTCCCTCACACTCTGTCCCCCTCGGACTACTTTTGTAGCATTTATCGCGTCGGTCTCGCCGCACCGATCTTGATGCCTCTGATCCACCTCCCTTCTGCATTTCGTTGTTTCTTTTTCTCAATTCCGTCCCTCCTATAGATCTTCATTTTTACGCATGATATCAATCGATCCCGTCTAGTCTATAGTCTCGTTGCTCACGGCTTTCTATATGTTTTCAATGATGCGTTGGTTCATATACTGTGTTCCACAAACTATTCACTTGCAAGGGATAACTTAAGTGAGCCGAGATCGAAAAATTTCTTAATGCTTTAGGCTTCCGTTTTGCGATTCGTCACTTCGAGCGCTCCGGTTTTTCGCGTTTACCGACTATGCTTCTCTAAAGCGAAGCATCAGTACAAAGTACTGGATATTGGTGGTTCTTGCATCTTCCTACTTCGAGTCCCCGTTCGTGTATGAATCTTGGTCTCCCTGCGGTATCTCAACTCACGAGCGATCGCTTGGCATCAAATCATCATCACCGGTGTTGACGATTTTTACTTTTTTTGCTGGACCGATAGGTTTCTCATGGATTACACTGTCCACCTCCACACATCTTTCTTGCCCACAGTGAGCATCCGTTGGTCACACCCTTTCTATATCACATGCATGAGTTCGGGAGCCGAACCCTGTTTGCACTATTGACTGCATGTTTCTCCTGTGGTTCATGTCGATTGCTTGTCCTCGCCGCAACATTATTTCATACTCATCTTTTTTAAAAAGAGTAGTAAGAGGTTTTAAATGATATGAGTAAAAATCTGTCACATTTAGACTCCACCAAACGACCATCACGTGTCCGGAAGAGCATTGCACGGCCATTTCATCCTTTCGGGGCTTGTCAGCAACCCCACCTGGGTCAGTTGGTGTGTGCACTGCTGACGATTCCCGAAAGAATTAATCAACCCTAGAGTGCGTTTACAGGCGTCGGATGGCTGTCTGATAGTCTAGATGTGATGAATTTCCACTTATATCATCTTTAATTCATCGCCATCTTTGCCTCCAACCCTGTTTCGTTGCTGCTGAGCTTGGGTGTGGGCTAGTTGGATACTGTCTGCTAGCTTGGAACTATTTCGCTCAAATCTCAGGGCTCTATACGTCGGTGTCCTCACCTTAGCCTGAGCAAGGTAACGATGTCCCGCTTGCTTACAATTGCTGCTGCTAACATGCAGTATGCGCTGCATCACTCCCTAGGTGTTCGCTATCCCCAGTTGGTCGGATGAGCTCGGCGATTCAACCTCAAACATCTGGAAAGCAATATAGGACCGTGATTGATTTTCTTGCATAGATTTGGGATGATGTGTATTTTTCCACCACAGTTCTTGCGATCTTCTGCTTTGGTGGTATTCCGCGCGACCTGAATGATAGCAGTCTGTAGTTCATGGAAGTCAGTTTCGTTGTATAGGGACTCCAGTGTTAACCACTAGATTTGAACGCTATTCTCTATAAAATGCGTTCCAGTATTCTCACTCGTCGGCCGCATCTGTTTACGACTACTGCAGGGCCGGTTGTTGGATAGTGGGGTTTTAGGCTGCCTGCGGAGTACCTCCACAAAAACAGTGTATTACATACAGGTCATTTACGATATATTTTTCTCAAGTTTTCCTTGTGGAAAACTTGAACCGAATTGATTGTGCTCTACTTTTGCGTTTACTTGTAAGTGGATCGATCCACCATATTCAGTGGTTCTTCTCTGATACCTTAAACCGGTGATGTATCTGTCTAGTGTTTTGAAGGTGCAAAGCACATGCCGAAACTTGCAGCGCTATGAATCAGTTTATTCGGTAGTGTTTGCATAATCACTGCACCAGACCCAAGGAGAGCTATGGCAGCCGGTCACCCGGTTGAACTCCTACTTCGGAAAAGCCTTAAAGAGCGGAGTCATTCATGATCATTTCGATCACAAATTTAAAGAGGAAAGACGATTTGGAACAACCTTGGTGGACCCCACTTGTCGTGGGGAACTCATGAGACAGCTTCCTTTAGACACTTAGGCGGCCTCGGGAGTCACGGTAGAGACACATCAGAATTGTAGAGATTTCCCGGCACTCGCTTTCCGCATAGGCAATGCGGCAAGCTGGCTCAGTCAATAGAGTTGAAGGCAGCTTTCAAGTTAAGGAAAACTACCATAGTTGGTCGTCTGAATGTGTCTCTGCTCTAAAACTTGTCGAAAAGTAAATGTTTGGCCGATGAAACCACGACTGAGCGCAGCCTGGCGTTCACTGATTCGGCTCTCACGAAGACCAGGTAGTCGTCGAAAAATGATACCCGTGAGAAGTTTGGGGGGCAGTTTAAAGAAGGCTAATACCTCGATGGTTTTTCAATGAAATCCGTTGGCTGTTGTTGAAGATAGGCACTCTGAAGTTGCCTCTTCAATTTCCCAATAGTGTTAAATAGAGCAGCAAGTTCAATCAACACATATTCACCTCCATCTTTCAACAAGGTTGGAGGAAGTTCTTCAGTTCCAGAACCTTTCTTTCGCTTCAATACTGGGAGCTTATGTTGAATCACTTCCAAAGTGTAAGACGTGACAGCAACCTCCTACATGGGCTCAGGCGATTCATTAAGCTTTAGCGTTGCAGCAGGTGTACTTAACTGCTCTTCGGAATGTTCCGCCCAACGGGCTAGTCGACGCGACTAACTATAGAACAACTGTCCATCTTCCTCACCTATGTCCCACTAACTGATGGCTTTCTTAGACCCGATTTCCAGGTGAACTGGAACGGTATTCAACTATTCCCAATTGCGTGAGGTCCATCGCAGCCAGTTTCCAAATCAGATAGTCGTCCACGTGCCCGGAAAAACACTAGACTGCAGTTTCAGCCTGTTGGGTATCGTCAGTAATGCGCATCCATCGGATCCGTCAAGATTCGAACCCATGACCACCAGCGGCTTGAGTTCATATTCCCAATTGCATTAACTTTCTCCATCTTTCAGGCCTCTACAGCCCACCAGAGTTTCCGGTTAATTTGTAGACTGGAAATAGTTGAGAATATCCGTAGCTCCGGGTGTGGATATGGATTTTCGGTTTTTCTCCAAGCTGGATGATTATTTTGCAGACGTATCGTTGCCAGACTAGGCAACGTCATCAGTGCGGCTTCAAAACCATCGTAAGGGACTGCGACGTCCAAGTGTTTATTGCTCGAGTTTTTTAAAATGCCAAGCTTCGATGAACTCACGTACTTGCCAGCTTTTGGTCCTTCCGAGGATGTTGGTGTTCTCTAGGTGGATTTGGTCTATCAAAAATCAGTGCATTCGGATCAGGTCCTCGACTACGGCAACTATCATCCGATAGTGTACAGACGCAGCTGCGTGCGAACCATTTTCAAACACACTGTAGCGCACCGCGGCTGAGGCAAACAGAGGATAAACTCTTCAGTCTGCTCCATCGGAACTCATACCTAAAAGGCTTCATTCTGCGCTGCATGGCACTGCAACACAACGCAACAACAAAAGCATCCGAATTGATAGGTTGCATTGTGTCAACGGAATCACTGAAATGGCAGCGGGAATTTTATTACCTTTTGGAGTCAAAGTTGCACACCAACCAAAGGAAAGAATTCGTAGTAAACTCTTCAAAGGGAAATATACACTTGACAAGAAGGAAACAACTGATGTGATCTATAAGACCTGCTGTCGGGACTGTGAGAAATACTACGGGGGACAGACTGGAAGAAAGCTTGGCACACGAATAGACGTACACCGCCTAGCCATTCGTCGCCTTGATCTGAACTCCCTGCTTTCCGTGCATATGGATACCGAGAACCACCAATTCGACATGAATCACGCCAACATCCTTGGAAGTGTCAAAACCCGGCAAGCACGTTCATCGAAGCTTGGCGTGCAAAGCAGAACTTGATCAATAAGCACTTGTATCTTGAAGTCGCTTAGGAGGTTCTGAAGACCACATCCCTGAAGCCACACTATTGACATTGCCTAGTATGGCATTGGAACGACTGCATAGTAGCCGTTCATTTTAGGGAACAACTCAAAATTCGAAGCCTCCTTGTCAGTTTTCATTTCAGGACCTTATGGACAGCTGGAACTCAGTGCCCATCGGAATATGTTTGTGTGCTTCGATCCCGATCAGCGTTCGGTCTATCAATTTTACTCATCACTGACATTTGGTGGGCCAGCCCGTCATGTATTTGTTAAACTGCAGACTGCGAGTTCGTTAAAAGTAAAAAAGTTGGAAACTGTAATTCCTTTTGAAACTGGAAGGGCGCGTCCCAAATGTGCGCGCACACCGACGGCCCCATTATTTTGCGGATTTACTCCATGACATTTGTTACGCTTCGCCGGATTTACACTTTTTCGTTTTGGTTTGATGAGCCCCGTCTACTAAGAGCATTCTGTTTCTAATAATTTCAGCATAACTAGCTTCTACCGGAATTCACTAATGTGAGCACTTTATCACCGTTACTCACGCGCTCAGTTTCGCGGTGTTACAAGTTCCTATCCATGCTTTTTGCCAGTCTTGATAGAGGAATCTCCGAGATTCCCAATAATTTCTCATCCGTCCCATTCCACCACTGTGCATAGCAGCTACACAGCAAATTACGTTTATATTGTAAACCCTTCTCAGTCGGCAGCCGTTTACTTTGGCTGCACTTTATTCTAATTGGTGCGATCAATCAGTCTGTCCTGCACTATACTGCCTAAGCAGCTGACCTCCACTAGCTGCTCCTCTCGTGACAGTATAACGGACAGACGCGGAAAGTAAAACGCGGTGCGCCATTTCTCTTACCTCAAACTGTCGAGCGGTCGGCGGACGTTATCCAATGACGAGACAGCAACTGTTCAGCCAAAATAACTGAGATCTGAAAGGAAGTCTTCCATGTTCTTGAAGTGTGTGCAACGTGGTAAAGGTATTGCCGGCAGGTTCTCACTGTACCGCTCGTTATTACAGCTCAGTCTGTGCGAAACTACAACTAACAGTAAAACGCAGTGTTCGGCTTTTAGCGCAAGACAGTAGAACACATCAGTTTCAGCAGTACGCAAAATGTGTTGTCTAGCTTCAAACACCGCTTCGCACAATTTAAATCAGTCCGACTGATGGTTATCTTGGCGTTAAATTGTCATGTACTGATGCAGGTGTGTCCATCCAATAGGAAGCAAGTGAACTTGGTTCGCGCAGATGCCACAATTATTAACATCCAAAATGCGCCAGAATGTCACAACTCGACGCAAAAAGTATAACAGTGTACCTGGCTCTCTTTGTTTCCCTCTTTGCGTGCTCGACGGTCCCACTTGTAAGCTGTGTAATGGGATTACCACAAAAGTACGTCAATATTGTCGCCGATATTGAATTTCCTTTAAATGCAAATACTACTTCGCTGAAGGCGACAATAGCAGGGCTTGCACCTCACCCACCCTCTAATCGCTACTAAGAAACCAAGGAAAAGGGTTGGGTGTCCCCACAGTATCGGAAACATTGAGAACTCTGAATTGACCCGTCATTGGAAACTGGAAACAGGCCTCACTCCACCGTTCGTATTTTCCTGTACGAAGTATTGATTAATGTGACCTAGGCAGCACTTACACTTCCGATTGGCTGACAGAAACCTAGGCTCTAAATGTCGGTCGACATATGGTGCTCTGTGTACTCAGATTACGACTCCAGTCACCACAGTCACAACATATCTCAAGGCCTAGGTACAAGTTATAGTGGCGTAGTCAAAGCCATC